TGCCTTGGGGGTGGAGGCAGAAGGATTAGGAGTTCAAGGTCCTAATGAACACGGATTAAATAGGAGGCCAGCCTGTGCTATGCGAGATCCTGTTTCAAAAAAAAAGAAAAGAAGCCAGGTGCGGTGGTGCATGCCTTTAATCTCAGCACTTAGAGGCAGGTGGATCTCTGAGTTCAAAGCCAGCTTGGTCTACAGAGCAAGTTCTAGGACTGCCAGGGCTACACAGACAAACCCTGTCTTGAAAAACAAAAACAAAACAAAATTACTCTGGATACACAACATGACACTCTACTATGACATGACACTCGAACATGTCACATGCTTATGTTGGCACAACACATTCTTGAAGAAAATTTCTTTTCTTCCCTTTGTCTATGTGTAGATTTATTATTTTTAATTATGTGTCTGTCTGTGAGGGTATGGGCAAATGAGTGTAGTTGCGCTTGGAGGCCAGAAGAGGGTGCCAGATCCCCTGGCGCTAAAATGACAGGCAGTTGTGAGCCACCTAATGTCGGTGCTGGGAATTGAACTCTATCCTCTGTAAGAGCAGCAAAGTGCTCTTAACTAGTGAACCCTTTATGTATGTGTTTAATAAGGTGACTGCATTTAATACAGGACCACTAATTAGCCTAATTAAGGATGCTAACTTGTGTTGGCAACATCAACTCTTCAGTATCTTTAGAGTAACTCCTGGGTTTAGTTGTTTTCTTTTTCTTTTCTTTTTGTAGTGTTGGGGATTGAGTATAGGTCATTGCACCTGCCAGGTCTAAGTTCTATTGTTGAATGGCATTGCAGTCCTGCCCCCTTTTCTGGTGACGTTTAACTGATTCATTTAAGATCACTGATGTCTCAGAGGCCATTGAATGTGAAACTGGTAACTCCCAGGAAGTCAGTTCTATAGAGGATTTTGGATGTTTAGCAAGAAATTCAAGAGGAATGTTGTTAAGATCCGTAAACTAAGAAAACAAAAACGACAAAAGAAACTGCTGAGCTGTTGATCATTGGTGAGCCTGGTGGAGGCAGCACATATTTATTGAGCTACTAATCAATGAGCAACTCCCAACAGGTGTTAAGGTGGTGGGCATTGCAGATTGTCTCTGTATTCCTGTTCTGTACAAGAAAGAAAACAAAATGGAAAGCCAGGATTGTGAGTGTAGGGATATCGTGGTTTCTGTTGGAGTTTTGAGGGAGAGAGACAGGCTGTCCTTTTCAGGTAAAAGATCTCTAATAACTGGCCACACAGAGCAGTGTGAGGAAGAGTCTCAAGCCCACGAGACAAAGCAAGATGTCCTCTTTCTTAGGCCCTATGGGGAAGAAGGGCGTGGGGAGGTCTAGTATCCTGAGGAAGCGGAGGCTTAGTTAACACATGATCTGTGCTGTGAGGCACAGTAATTCAGACTATGTGACAGGTCACATGGGTAGAGAAGTGGGGCTGGTTAGTGTGACCCCAGCAGGGAGCAGGTTGAGTTTGTCCCTCATTCTGCTTGGAGCCTTATCTACCCAGGGCTTGGTTACCTGGAAGGCCCATGGTTTCTCAGAGTTACCTTAGGTTGGGTGGTCAGGATGTTATTGAACTTGGGGGTTACATCCTGTGTCCCAAACCACATTTAGCCACCCAGCCCCAGAAAGACAATTTATAGTGAAAGCAGGATAAGGAGCTTGGTTAAATGTAGCCACACTGGGAAGATAGATGAAGAAATCCAGTGAACTGCCCTCCCCCAGGTCCATCCTTGGGGTCCTGAAAGTGAGATCAACATTTAAATAGAGGGCCAAGCAGTGCCAGTCAAGATGCTGTCCCACCCACCACTGAGCCATCAGTGTCTGGGCTTCGGTCTGTAAGGTGTTCTGACAAGTTGTTAGAACTGTGTGAAATCTTTTAGGGACACAAGTTCCCTTTCAGGCTGGTGCCTTTTCCTCCTCCCTGCATGAGACTCCAGGAGAAATTCCCACTTCTTTGGAATGCATTGTTTCAATAGTCTGATAGTCAGATTGAGAGACAACTGTCTCTAGAACATCTTCATTTTTGCCGAGCTGATTACAGTAAAATTGGGTACACTTGAGGAAATCCACTGTGGGCCCAGTGTGTGTCTGGGAAAGAGCTGGGGCAGAGGGCGTGCACTTGATGTGTCACATGAGCAGCCAATGTGACCTGATGAAGTAAGGAACAGGAGCCAGGTGGGGGATGGGGTCGACAGGTACCATGGCCAGATCAGTTTTTTACTACATGGGAGCATGTACACACTGAGAAAACAAATTATTCATGCCCAATTTCTGTTATCAAATATCTTTGTTCAGAGAACAAATTAATAATTCCTCAAAAAGTTAAATATGGAATGATCACATGGCCTAGTTATTCCATTTCTAGATCTATACCCCTCAAAAGGCAGAAGACAAAACCCCAAAGAAGCATTTGCATGTGGTCACAGTAGCATTACTTACAGCTGCCACGAGGTGGCAGCAAACCACACCACTTGACAAACCGTGTTAGGAGTGTACCCAGTGTGGTGTCCCTGAGGCTTAAGCAGGAAGAGGACTGGAGCCTTGATAGTTTCACTCGTGTGAACTGAAGAAAGCTAGACAAAAAGAGCGAAGACTATAATCCTGCTACACGAGAGGACTAAACCAGGCAAGTTCCCAGACACAGAGAGAGGCTGGAACAAAGGTTATCCATGGCTGAAGAAAGGGAAAATGCAGAGTTATTTTTGTTTTTGAATTAATTTTTCAATATGTATGAGTGTTTTGTCTGCATGTATGCCTGTGTGTCACATGTGTGCCTGGCAGAGACCAGAAGAGGGCATTGGATCTCCTGGAACTTGAGTTACAGACAGTTGTGAGCCACCATGTGGTTGCTGGGAACTGAACTCAGGTCTTCTGCAAGAGCAGCCAGTGCTCTTTACCACTGAGCCATCTCTCCAGCCCCGGGAACAGTTTTAGAGATTATGAAAATGTTCTGGAAATGGCTAGCAGTCATGGTTGCAGAACATTGTGAGTGTACTTACTGAGTTGTCATTTCAAATGGTATGTTTAGATAAGGCTTATTATTACCACAATTAAAAATCTTTCCTCCATTCTGTTATCTTATTATTAACTTTATCCTTTCAAGGTAATGAATTTACAAGACCTTTAAGAGAAGGAATACTGGACTGGAGTGGTTATAAGCACTGACTGCCCTTTTAGAGGACCCAGTTTTGTTCCCAGCACCCATACCAGGAAGCTCACATTGTTGGAATTTCTGCTCCACGGGATCTGGCGCACTCTTCTGACACATACACTCAGACACATACACACACACACACACACACACACACACACACACACACACACACCCCCAAACCAACAAAAAACAAACAAATAAAACTTTAAAACAATGATATGGGTTCCTTTCCAGAAATAAATTTTGGGTCTCAGGGGGACAAGGGCTTGCTGTGCAGGCCAGTCTACCCTATGACAATTGTCCTCTAGAGAAAATGCTGGAGTCACAGACTGAACCACCATGCCAGGCATTCCATATTAACCACTACAATCTTTTCTTCTCCTCCCTAGACAGCAGATATAGAGTCACAAAATTTACTTGTACTTAATAGCATGGCATCATTTTTAAAGAACAAAATGCATCAATAGATCAAAATTACATGGATGAATTAAAAATTATTTTATTTATATTCATGTGTGTGTGTGTGTGTGTGTGTGTGTGTGTGTGTGTGTGTGTATGTGTGCGCAGTTGGAGCTGTGTGTAGCTAGAGTTTTCCTGCCTGGCCCACAGTCAGGACAAATCTCTCTCATCTGCCAGTCCCACAGCTGCTCAGACCTGACCAAGTAAACACAGAGACTTATATTGGTTACAAACTGTATGGCCATGGCAGGCTTCTTGCTAACTTTTCTTACAGCTTAAATTAATCCATTTCTATAAATCTATACCTTGCCACGTGGCTCATGGCTTACCGGCATCTTCACATGCTGCTTGTCATCGTGGTGACTGGCAGTGTCTCTCTGACTCAGCCTTCTACTTCCCAGCTTTATTCTCCTCCTTGTCCCGCCTATACTTCCTGCCTGGCCACTGGCCAATCAGTGTTTTATTTGTTGACCAATCAGCAACACATTTGCCATACAGAACATCCCACAGCACTTCCCCCCCCCTTTTTTTTTAAAAAAAGGAAGGTTTTAACCTTAACATAGTAAAATTACATGTAATTTGGGAATTTGGGCATAGCTTCTCTTACTACTTTCTTTTGGAGGGGGGCGCTGTATCTTATGGGGACACAAAGAAAATTTTAGGATCATGGAGTAGTCCATGAGGCTGTATCGTCTGAGCCAGTCGCCTTGAAATCGTTTTGGATGTTGGATCATCTGGGCCATGGTGTCATCGGAAACCTTTCAGGGGGTCTTGACTGGTCAAACCTGATGTATCTTAATCTGGAACAAATCCATAGCCTTTGGCTTTCTGTGGGAACAAAAGCAGAGTCTCTTTTTCTTTTCTTTCTTTCTTTCTTTCTTTCTTTCTTTTTTTTCTGAGACAGGGTTTCTCTGTGTAGCTTTGCGCCTTTCCTGGAGCTCACTTGGTAGCCTGGGCTGGCCTCAAACTCACAGAGATTTGCCTGGCTCTGCCTCCCGAGTGCTGAGATTAAAGGCGTGAGCCATCACCACTCGGCAAAGTCTCTTTTTCAAAGCAACATATCCTTATATCCAAATTTTGAAGTCAAGGTACCTTAAAAAATATACATTTTGGCATGACTCAACAGCTTTTACAATCAAATGTTTTTCTGTAGTTAAAAATCCCAAAGACAATGCAATCCAGATTCTCTGTGTAATATTTATCTTTATGTGGCTTATTTTTTATATTAATTTTATTGTCTTTTTAAAGACTTTATTTTTAAAAATTATGTATTTGTTTCTATAACTGTATATATCACCTTTTTTGTCTCTTTTAAGCCTACATATATTTTACATACATTGTAAACTATTACATCTGAATCTGTCTTATTGTGAATCTATTGCTTTAAACTGCAGCAGCTGTGGCTGCTGGCTCCGCCCACCTCAGCTTTCCAACAAGGCAACAGTAGTTTACCATCAGCTCTGGGAGCTATCGTGGGTCTATGCTTTTATCCAAGCAGCGTGTAGTCCAAAAACCTCTTTTTTTTGTTTTGTACTAGCAAAGGCTAAATCCACCATGCAGCTTAATGTGCCACTTGCAGAGGCCTCATTCCCACCATACAGCAGGCCAAGCGCGCAGGATAGGAACCCACCAGTAGCTAAAACCGGCAGCTGCAGCTCATTTGAGAGAGACAATTAGGAAGCTGTTTTTAGCTCCGTTTTAGAATCTTTTTTCTCAGTTTTTAGATGGAAACTCTTGCCACCACTTTGGACGCCATTTGTAGCTAGAGTTTTCCTGCCTGGCCCACAGTCAGGACAAATCTCTCTCATCTGCCAGTCCCACAGCTGCTCAGACCTGACCAAGTAAACACAGAGACTTATATTGGTTACAAACTGTATGGCCGTGGCAGGCTTCTTGCTAACTTTTCTTACAGCTTAAATTAATCCATTTCTATAAATCTGTACATTGCCACGTGGCTCATGGCTTACCAGCATCTTCACATGCTGCTTGTCATCGTGGTGACTGGCAGTGTCTCTCTGACTCAGCCTTCCACTTCCCAGCTTTATTCTCCTCCTTGTCCCGCCTATACTTCCTGCCTGGCCACTGGCCAATCAGTGTTTTATTTGTTGACCAATCAGCAACACATTTGCCATACAGAACATCCCACAGCAGCTGTGGGTGCTGGGATTTGAACCCAGGTTCTCTGCAAGAGCAGCAAGTGCTTGTAACTGGAAAATACAGTGTTTGAAAAGCTCTTGTCCACTGGAGTGTTCTTATTCATTAATATGGCAGTGGCATGTGGAAATTGGAATTGATCTTGGCCAGCTAACAATAGCTGTGGTGAGTTCTGAAGACAATGTGCAGAAGGTGGCATTTCACAGAAGCCCTGTCCTCCGGCCTCATATTCTGTCAGTACTCTTTTCCATGATGTTCTTTGAACCTTGAAGGGAAGAGGGTAATACGGATGTCCCATTTAGGGCTGAGCACCCAGCAGTGACTTATTCTCAGCACCATGCCTAGTTTGAAGTCTCTGCATTAACTGCTGCCTGTGGCAGGGAGACGCTTCTCTGGCCAAGGGTGAGAGCAGCACTGATCTATGGATATAAAAAAATATTTAGAAAGCAGTTTGTGTGTTTATCAAAACAACTGTAATCAACCTTTTCCTACCAGGGCCTGTGGCTTCCTGAGCTGTGGGCTCTTGGCCAAGTTTACAGTACGATATATGAATTCCCTTCTGTGGAGCAGGCCTCAGATCCAAGCAGAAAGTGGTTGGTTAATTCCATAACCTTCACACCACAGTTGTACCATGGGCATGTTTTACCTGGTAGGTTGAAATTGCAGCATTCAGGGTTCACCACTGGGTAAGACCAATGATGGCTTTTCTCTCTCAGAAGCCTACACAGCACCTCCCAGATTGGAAGGGTTTCAGGTCATCTCTAGCTTGATTTCTCTATATCCTGCAACCAAAGTATATAGAGTCTTCAGCAAGAGGGTCTTGCAATCAAGATTGATGGCAACATCCTGTGCTACTTTGGGTGCCTCTGGGGCTTCCCTGACCAATAACTGATAGACTTGTGTGCTGGCTAATTTTATGTTAAATTGATCCAAGCTTGAGTCATTTTTGGAAGAGGGGACCTCAACTGAGAAAATGTCTCACCCTCCAGATGGACTGTGGGAAAGCCTACAGTGAATTTTCTTAATTGATGATTGATTTTGGAGGACCCATCTCACCATGGTCAGTGCTGCTCCTGGGATGGTGGCCCTGGGTGATTTCAGAAAGCAGGCTGAGCAAGTCGTGGGGAGCAAGCCAGGAAGCAGCACCCTCCATGGCCTCTGCATCAGTTTCTGCCTGCAGGTTGCTGCCATAAGTTCGTGCCCTGACTTCCCTGAATGAGGGTCTACAAGGTGTGAGAAAATAAACCCATTCCTCCTCAAGTTGCTTCTGGTTACAATGTTTTATTACAGCAATAGAAACCCTAAGGAAGACAGGACATATCCCAAATCTGAGATTTTAACTTAATAACCATGACATGAATTTTCCACAGCAACTTTGTCATTCAGGGGACATAGGAAAGCTGCTTTAAGCAAAGGCTCCTCTGAAGATTTCAGGTTGAAATTCTGTGTGTTTTTAGATTGGACAACTGATATGTTCATGGTGTTGGTATTGTTTACTGTAACTGTTGGAAGACAAGGCAGGATGCTGTATTTAAAATGACTTATAATATGTCTAATATTTTCTATTTGTGGTGGGAGTCCCACTCTGGGCTTCATGTATGCCACACATGCATGCTGCCACTGAGCTACACCTCAGCCCTCTAGCAGTTTTTGAATCTGGGTGATTTGTACTTAATAGTTGGTTATACTATTCCTTGGACAATTTCTGTGCATGACTAAAAGTTTCCATAGTAAAAAATGTATACATCACTGTAGTAACAGGCTTGACTCATGACCTACATCCACTAAGACAAATTGTGTTTATAGTATGTCTGAACCATGAGACTTAGAATGGAAGACTGTATGTGTCATAGGGACTTTTATTTTTGAAGAAAGAGACACAGCAGTTAAGTCAAACTAAACAGAAAGCCTGGCTTGAAATTCTGAATGGATTTTGAGAACAGTATACTCTCTCCTCTGAAAGTCTTATTTTGGTAAACATTGTGTGTGTGTGTGTGTGTGTGTGTGTGTGTGTGTGTGTGTGTGTGTGTGTGTGTGTGTGAATCATGTGTTGGAGTCACCTGATTTAACTGTGGTATAACTAAGTCTGGAAGGCTTAGTGGGGAGCTGTGTTTTTAACATTCCCCCCCACCACACATGATTATGGTTATATGAGATTTGGGGTCTTGAAAAGGGAGATCTGTGGCCTACAGCTCTAGGATTATTTAAACCATGTATTTTGCAAGCTCATCTTTGTTTTGTTTGCACTATAATGTCATGTCTGCTTCCACCACAATCACATGGACAAGGAACGGGCAGGTCAGACTCTCTCCCAGCATGCAATAGTGTTGAGAATCTGCTTTGTGCAGGCAGTTGAAATAACACACTCTGTTTTGCCTTAGCAAGAGCTCAGAGATAAGATTCTAGTATACTTTAGAAAATGTGGAGACAATCGTACTGTGCCTACTATGGAAAATTTTAGTAATAAAAACATTGGGGGATGCTGGGCTGTAGCTTTATTGGCAGAGTGCTTGCCTGGTGTGCGTGAGTCCCCAACACTGCATAAACCAGGTTTGGTGGCACACACCTGTAATTCAAAAACTCAGGAGGATCAGGAATTCAGGGTCATATAGAGCTACTGAATGAATTTGAAGCTTGTCTGGGATATGTGAGACCTTGTCTCAAACAAACAAAAATTTGGAAAGAATTACAATGAAAACTACTAGGTTTAAAAATGTAGTACTGAATTTTGGGCTATATCTGAGTGGTGATGCCCTCACCCAGAGTGCTCAAGGCTCCGGGTTCAATTCCCTGGCATGGAAAAAAAACATTGCAGTGGGGACAGTGGGGATGTGGAAGGCAGCATCGTGGCAGAGACTAGGTACCCAGTGGCTAAAAGGAGAAAATGAACTACCGTGGGCATTCATTTCCCTCCCTCCCTCCCTCCTTCTCCTTCTTGCTCTCTCTCCCCTCTGTCTACCATGATGGGAGTTGTGTTCTGTTCTGCCTTCTCCCTCCCCACTGCTGTGGGATGTTCTGTATGTCAAGTTACTCTGATTGGTCAATAAATAAAACACTGATTGGCCATTGGCTAGGCAGGAAGTATAGGCGGGACTAACAGAGAGGAGAAAAGAACAGGAAGGCAGAAGGAGTCACTGCCAGCCGCCGCCATGACAAGCAGCATGTGAAGATGCTGGTAAGCCACGAGCCACGTGGCAAGGTATAGACTTATAGAAATGGATTAATTTAAGGTATAAGAACAGTTAGCAAGAAGCCTGCCACGGCCATACAGTTTGTAAGCAATATAAGTCTCTGTGTTTACTTGGTTGGGTCTGAGCGGCTGTGGGACTGGCGGGTATCAGAGATTTGTCCTGACTGTGGGCCAGGCAGGAAAACTCTAGCTACACTCCACTGTGGTGGAATGAGGTGTCTGAAACTGTGAGCTTAAACAGGTCTCTCTCCTCTAAACTGCCTTTCTCGGATATTTTGTCACATTGACACTAGCTTTTGGAGTCTGCCTGTCTCCACCCTGAGTGCTGGGTCACAGCACACACAGCCATGCTGGGATTTCTGCGTGGGTATGGTACCAATGCTCTTTGCCTTGTGGCAGCCGTGTGACTAAATTCAAGTGTTTGAAGATTCTGAATCTCTGTTAAATTCCTTGGAAAAATGAGGATAGTGGCACCCATCTTCCAGGCCTGTGGCAGCAAAACCAGCCAATACTGGGCTTGAGACCTAGTGGGTACCCACTGAGCTTCTGCGGGAGGTGGAGGTGGGGGTGGGTGGGGGGAGTGCAGTAATGTATGTGACTGGGAGAGCAGAAGTATGAATCTTGAAGCATGAAGTCCACAGGTACATTGCTGTGAGGTGCCTTCTCCTTGCAAGCCCTTTATAGCCTCTATCTAGTCAAGCATGGTATTAAGAACATAATAGTTATTCAGTTATTATATCTCCACAGATTGCAACAAAGTCTCACCTAGTTCCCCTGCTGGTGATTCTATTTGCCCAAGTGCTGTGCTTCTAGGCAAGTGCCACCATGCAGATGTTTCATTTTTATTTTATCATTATTTTTATCTTTATATTCTGCTAGAGATTGAATCTAAGACTCTGTGCATGCAAGATGAGCAGTCTACTAACTGATATATCTCTCCAGTCCTATTAAAGCCTTTTCTGGGGATTGTGAAATGGCCAGCTTTGTTTGCAAGCTTGAGGACTTGAGTTTGAATCCCCAGCACAGATGTAGAAATACCAGTATGGTTGTATGTACCTGTGACCCAGCATTGAGAGTAGAGACAGATTCCAAGAGCTCGTTGGCTAGCCAGCAAAACTCAGATGGTGAGTATGTGCACACATTAGCTGAATTCCCTCCACCCGCCACTGTAACATCCATCACATACATAAAAGCCGGGCGGTGGTGGCGCACGCCTTTAATCCTAGCACTCGGGAGGCAGAGCCAGGTGGATCTCTGTGAGTTCGAGGCCAGCCTGGGCTACCAAGCGAGTCCCAGGAAAGGCGCAAAGCTACACAGAGAAACCCTGTCTCGAAAAACGAAAAAAAAAAAAAAAAAAAAAAAAAAAAAAAAGAGAAAAAAACGTTTTCCTTTAAGTTTTAGCATATTTAAAATAAAATGCAAAAACAGTTCTACAAATGGAAGAAGAAATAAATGTACAGGTTGTACCTCTCTCTCTCATAAATGTAAAAATCTAGGATGACTGAGGTGGCAAAGAGTGCTGTGGTAGGCTGGAGTTGAGTGACGGAAGGAAAGTGAAGGAAGGAAGGAAGGAGAAGGAAGGAAGGAAGGAAGGAAGGAAGGAAGGAAGGAAGGAAGGAAGGAGAAGGAAGGAAGAAGAAGGAAGGCAGGCAGGCATGATGCACAGGCTTCCTCTTGGGGGTCACTTTGGCAGTGTGGGTTGACCACGGTTACCACATGGGCTATTGTTGGATCTTGTTGGGGTCCTTGATTTTATTTCAGTCGCTGTAGGAGTCATTGTATTAAAAACAAACGATAAATAAAATAAAGTAGAAATAAAGAGCCATGAGCCAAATGAAAGAGGGTTGCACGTGGAACCTGGGGAGAAGGCATGAGACACACAGTGTAGTTCATCTGCTTGTTTTTATCTGAAGGCAAAAAGCAAATACATAAAATAAAATTGGAAGTGAGACAGAGGGGAAGAGAGAGAAATTGAAAACATTGAGATGATTTTTGGCGGGAACAAGCTGAACAAATAAGAGGAGAAGATGGGGGGATTAGACGGCTGGAAGACCCAGGGCTTTGAGTGCTGAGCGGAACAAAGACACATAAGTGGTATTTGTGAGCCTCGAGAGGGACACTCTGTCTCCACAGGAGAGTGTCAGCCAAAGGGCTGGGTTCCAGGAGAGGGTGATGTGGTTAGACGACACTGAGGACTGGCTTGATGCACACTGACACTTAGCCAGCTGG